AAAAAAAAAAAAAAAAAAAAAAAAAAGGCCAATAATAGTACTTCTTTGCAGGACATAATGATTACAATCATAGCGTTGAGTCGGTTGGTACACCACACATCTTAATTCATTTTACACTTCCTTCCCCTCTCCTTCTTCCCCCTTTCCCTCAATCTCTTGGTCACCTTTCCATCTAACTTTTCTCCAGACCTGTCTGGGGATTTTTATGCAGTTTCTTCAACTCTCAGCCACCCTCCGACTCCAGACGTTTGTTAACGGCTAGGAGAAATACGACCCAACGCTTCTGTGCCCTCTCCCTGGCCGCTGTACTGCAAGCTCCCCAGCTCCCCGGCTCCCCGGCTCCCCGGCTCCCCGACTCCGCAGGCCGGAAGAGCTAAACTTTGCGAATCAAACGGCCCTCACCCCGCCACGTCCAACAGCGTCAAGAAGGAAAGCAGAAGCCCGGAAGGCAGCAGGGCAGTGACAGTATCACCCTCGTCACAGGAGACCCTCTCCCCAAGGGGACGCAGCGCACTTACACAACTCGGTCCAAGGCGTCCATCGCTACCCTCTCAGTCTCGCCAATACAAATGCGCTGCTCTGGCAAGCGAGACGCGCGCGTGCGCCGGGGCTCCCGGAACCGGAAACTGCGTGACGCCAGTTCCTGGGACGGTCTTGTCGCGCGGCTTCCGCGCTGTTCAGCGGCTTTCGCGTTTGGTGTTGGGTCTTTGCCCGAAGTGTAACAGTTTAACTCCGCCTTTCGCGGCTCGTGTAGGTTTGGGAGTGTATCTGGAGTCCGGTATTCAGGGGCCAGGTGTTCTCAGGGAATCCTCCAGAATGCTAGAAAGGTTAAAAGTACGGCAGGTGTTCGTGTGGTTACTAAAAATACTCGTGTGTAATGGGCGGCATTGGACTTGGCTCAGTGGTTCCGCTGCTTGCCTCGCAAATTCTAAGGGACCGAGTTCGATCCCTGGAACCAAAAAAAAAAAAAGGCAGAGTTTATTATTACCACAACTCTAGCACATATAAGATACTGAAAATAATACTGCTCGTCATGATTTTTCTCTAATTTTTAATTGCCATATAATTCTATTACCACAGTTCCATGGGTTTTGGTACACTGTATTCACCAAGAGGTGGAAGGAACCATCACCACTATGTAATTTCACACCGTTTTATCTAAAAAAAATCCCACTCACGAACGTCATTCCACGTTTTTTTCTTTCCACCAAGTCCTGGCAGCCATTAATCTACTTATATTACATAGATTTGCCCATACTGCACATCTGTGGGTTGTTTTTTCATTCTTGGTGGTGGTGGTTTTGGGGGTTTTTGTTTTTGTTTCGAAGATGGGTTGCAGATGGGTTCGGGCTGTCCTTGAACTCACTATATAGCCCAGGATGGCCTTGAACTCCTGGCAGTCCTGCCTTACCCTCTCCCCTACTAGGATCACGCATGCATCACCCAGCAGGATTACGTTAAATTTTGAAATCAGGAAAGTGTGAATTTTCTAACCTTGCTCTTTGTCAAGATTAAACTCCTATGTAGATGAGGCAGCTGGGGTTTTTGTGCTTGTGAGGCAGACGCTGGAACCACTGAGCTAAATCCCCTGCACCTAGCAACTTATATTCAATTTTCCAGTCTTGAACATGGGAGATCTTTCTATTTAGGCCTTTTATTTCTTTCAATGATGTTAAATTTGTTACTGGATTTTTGTTTTGTATGGATTTTTTTCAAGGAGGGTAGGTACTGAGGATCAAACCTACACCTTTGCCAGGCTAATCCTGTAACACTGAGATACAGCTACAGCCTTTTTACTTTTGTATTTTTCAGACAAGGTCTTGCTTGAACTACATAGCTCAGGCTGGCCTCTTAACTCCTGGTGATCCTCCTGCCTCAGCCTCCCAAGCGCTGGGATTACAGGTATGTACCACCATGCCCAGCTTCATTTTATTTATTTTCCCCCAGCCTTTTTAAAAAAAATATTCAGTGAATTACCAGACTGACCTCAAATGTGTAGTCCTCTTGCCTCAGCCTCCCAAGTAGCTGGGATTATAGGTGTATGCCACTGCACCTGTCCTAGTTTATTTAATTTGATGGCATTGTAAATTGAAGTGTTTTCTTAGTGTCATTTTGGTTTGCTCATTGCCAATACACAGAAATATACTTAGGGTTTATGTAGTGATCTTATATCCTGAAACTTTCCTGAGTTCACTTACTGACTCCTTTAATATTTCTTTTGATTCCTTCAAAATTTTTTCTTTTTTATTTTGAGACATTATCACCATATAGCCCAGGCTGATCTCAAACTCCTGGTGATCCTCCTGCGTCAGCCTCCTGAATATTGGAATTACAAGTGAGTGCCGTCATACCCAGCAAGATTCCCTGTAACTTTTTATAGAGAGAAGATCACCTGCAAATAGATAACGTTTCCCCTTATAATTCTGATGCCTTTATCTTCCCTAATTTCCTCGTACAATGTTAAATACAAGCAGTGAGTGCAAAGTCGTTTGGTGGCACATGCCCATAATCCTAGACACTTGAGAAGCTGAGAAAGGAGGATCACAGGTGTGAAGCCAGTCTGGAAAGCTTAATGAGACCATTTAAAATAATAGGATTGGTGCAACCACTATGGAAATCAGTGTGGAGATTTCTCAAGAAAGTAAAACTAGAGGTTCCATTTGATCCAGCTATACCTCTTCTTGGTATCTTCCCAAGAGAAAAGAATCGTACCACAGTCCAAATGTCCATCAACTGATGAATGGCTAAAGAAGATTGTTTTTAATACAACAGAGCACTACTCTGCCATTAAGGTTGAGCTTCAGACATTTATAGGTAAATGGGTGGACCTTGAGACCATATTCTTAAGTGAAATAAATCAGACACAAGTTTAAATACCATATTATTTCTCTGGTGTGAGAATATGAATGTGAAAATAAGGACTAAAATGTATAATAGATATTGAGAAATGGGAAGAAAGTGTTCAAATGGGAAAGGAACAAGGGAGAAGGGAGGGAGAAAGGAAGGGACAAGAAAAACATGAAAATAGAAGGAAAAAATGGAAACAAAGCTTTTGTACATAGGGGAGGGGGCTTGAGGGGGAATGGATAAAATAAAATTTATTAATGAAAAAATAAAATAACACAATTAAGAGTGGTGATGTTGATTAGTGGTAGATACTTGCCTGACATCCTCAAGACGCTGAGTTCAGTCACCAGTCCTGGGAAAGAAAAGTGTTGAGAGCAGATAGTCTTCTCTGTTCCTGATCTGCAGAGAAAAATATCCAGTCTTCTCTCATTCGTAGGCTATGGAATTTTTCATGATGCCTTTTACCAAGTTGAGGAAGCTGTCAACCTCAGATTGAGGTTGTACAACTTTTCTATTTGTAGCCAGAGTGTTTTTTAATTACATATGGTTTCTGTCAAATTTTTTTTCCTGCATCTGTTGAAATGATCATGTAGTCTCTTAATCCTATGAATGTGTGGTATTACATTGATTGATTTTCATGTCAGCCAGCCTTGCATTTCTGGGGTGAATCCTACATATGCTTTTTTTTTTTTGGTCTTTTTGAGACAAGGTCTCACTATGTAGTTGAGACTGACCTGGAACTCACTATGTAGCCCCGGCTGGTCTCGAACTCACAGCGATCCTCCTGCCTCAGCCTCCAGTTGCTGGGATTACAGGCATGTGCCACCACGCCTAGCTCATGATTTCTTACCTGCATGTAAGATGGAAATCATACATGGGCCAGTGTCAAGGCTGAAATAAGTTTACTGTGGGAAAGAAACACGGACACAGACAGCAGAGATTAACTGTTTTCTTTCTCCCTCTTAAAATCCCCAAATGCAGTAGCCTCTCTTATTAAGTAGCTACTTCACCATCCTGTAAGCTCTTACTCACACATCCAGAGTCCCAAGGGTCAGACTGCCTGGGTTCAGTTCTATGTCTGCAATTTTTGTCTTTGGCTTCAAGCATGTGACTTAACCAGTTTTAAAGTCCTCTTAACTCCCTGTCTCACTAGCAACTCAGGAGGCTGAAGCTGAGGATCACTTGAACCCAAGATTGGGGACCTCTAGCCTGCCTGGGCAACCTAGTAAACCCCTTTGCCAAAAAAAAAAAAAAAAAAAAAAAAAAGATATCACATCTAAATCTTCCAAATCTATGAATACTACTTTATTTGGCGGGGGAAAAAGTCTTTGTAGATGTAATTCAAGATGTTGAGGCTGGGATGTAGCTTAGTAACCAGAGTACTTAGCAGGCACAGGGCCTGGGTTCGGTCCCTAGTACCAGACAAACACAGAAGTAAAAATCTGTAAACCAACAGGCTAGTGGTAATTTATCACGGCAGCCCTGGGAAACCAGTCAGTTTGTCATTCTAAAAATGTGTTGACTGGGCGTGGTGGCACATGCCTGTCTGTAATCCCAGCACTCGGGAGGCTGAGGCAGGAGGATCGCAGTGAGTTCGAGACCAGCCTGGACCACATAGTGAATTCCAGGTCAATCTCAACTACATAGTGAGAAACTGTCTCAAAAAAACCAAAAATAAATAAATAAATAAATATGTGTCCACTTCATCTAGGTTACCTTATTTATTAGCATATGGTTGTTCGTAGTTGTCCTTTACAATTCTTTTTATTTCTGTAAGGTCAATAGTGAAGTCCCTTTCATTGTTCTGTTTTGCTTTGAACCTAGGGCCTCAGCCATGCTAGACAAGTGCTCTACCAGTGAGTTAAACCCCTAAAAAAATTCCTTTCATTCTTGATTTAATAATTTGTCTTTTCTCTTGGTCAGTCTAAATAAAGGTTTGTCAATTTTTCTAAGTACTAATTTTTGTTTTGATTTTCTCTGTTGCTTTTCTATTCTCTATCCAATTAATTTCTACTCTTTGTCTTTATTATGTTCTTCCTTATGCTGTTTTAGAGGAAATACAATTTTCATGATTGCCACCACATATCATTAAAATGTCCATTTTCTACCAAATATAACAAGACATACAAATAAGAAAATATGGCAAGACTCTTGGAAGGACTGGGGAATCTGAGACTAGTTCTGAATTGGTTATTTTTTTCTGAGGTGGGGTTAAAAGCAGGGATTAACCTGGATTTGGACATCATAAAGTGAAAGTGGTTTAGCAACTGGTTGTCTTCAGGATTGAAAATTCAAGCCCAGCCTCGGCCATTTAACAACTGAGACCCATTCTCACAGTAAAAAAGGTTGAGTATGTATTTTAGTGCAAAGGTCCAAGTTCAACTCCCAGTATCAAAAGTAAAACAATAAAGTAAGTCTACCCATTTCCCTATGCCTTAGAGTTGAAGCATCACTCAACACTTCTAATTCCATGTTCATAGCCAGAACATACTAAGACAGCTACCTTTGTCTACAAGTGAAGCCGGGACATTGATAACCTGTATAAATTTTGGAATTCTGTACAAAGCAAGGGAAACACATTGGCTCAGGCAATTAGCAGTCTATTCATACAGTTATATCCCCATCAATGTGAGATGTGTTTTATTAGTGTGAGGATAAATGCATGAAATTGTTTTCTGTAGTCAGAAACAAATACTGGCAATTTCATATAGCTCAACCTATAATGAAATATCAAATTTTATTAATAACTTACTTTAAAAACAGAGGCTGCAGCTGGGCATGGTGGTGCACACCTGTAATCCCAGCACTCCGGAGGCTGAGGCAGGAGAATGGCTGTAAATTCGAGACCAGCCTGGGTTACATAGTTCTAGGGCAGTCCAAACTATGTAGTGAGACCATCTCAAAAAAACAAAAATAAATAAATAAATAAAAATAGTGGCTGGGATTGCAGCCCAATGATAGAACACATGCTTAGCATGCAGGAGGCCCTGTTTTAATCTGTAGAGGCTAAGGCGGGAGGATTGAAAGTTGGAGCCCAGGCTAGGCAATTTACTGACTTTGCTAGACTCTTATCTCAAAATTTAAAAATGAGCTGGGTTGGTGGTACACACCTGTAATCCCAACATTTGGGATCACCAAGAGTTTGAAACCAGCCTGGGTACATACTGAGTTCAAGGCCAGCCTGAGTTACATAGCAAGACCCTGTCTCGGACAAAAACAAAAAAGGGTTTAGGATAAAGCTAAATGAGAAGGGCCCTAGGTTTAATCCCAGCACGAAAAAAAAAAAATTTTTTTAAGTAAAGAAGACCTAGGTTTTTACCATAGTGATTTTTATAGTTGAATTCCAATCATTTTCAAGTGGGGAAGGAGTGAAATTAAAGCTGGAATATTAGAAACTATACCTTTATCTTTAAGCACCTCAAAATGTTTTGTTCCTAACTTCCAATCATTTTCAAGTGGGGAAGGAGTGAAATTAAAGCTGGAATATTAGAAACTATACCTTTAAGCACCTCAAAATGTTTTGTTCCTAAATAAAAACTTCCTTGTAATAGACTGAAAAATGACCCCTAAAGATTGTCATGCCTATACATGACATTCCATGGCAAAAGTAACAACATAAATAGGGAAATTACCCAGACAGGTCCAATGCAAGCAAATGGACCTTTAAAAGTGGAGACAAAGTCTGTGGTGCATACATGTAATCACAGCTACTCAGGAAGCTGAGGGAGGAGGGTCACAAGTTTGAGAAAAACCTGGGGCATCTTAGTGAGGCCCTGCCCTAAAAAAGACAGGGTGTAGCTGCAAGTGTATTTCCAGATTCAAACCCCAGTACCACCAAAAAAAAAAAAGAAGGGGAAGTGAAAGGTAGAAAGGTGAGTCAGAGTCAGAGAGGTGTAATAGGAGACTGAAACTGGGAAAGAGACATAACCACCATTGGCAGTTTTGAAGGACCATAAGCCAAGGAATGTGGGCAGCTTCTAGAAGCCAGAAATGGTCCTCATCTGACAAATAGCAAGGAAATGGGTCCTTGATTCATCAGCTGCAAAGAATTTGAATTTTACCAGCAAATGAATGAGCAAACAAATATATTCATCTATTCCTATCCAAACTCCTAGCCTCCAGAAAAGAACACAGTACTGCCAATGCTTAGATTTTCACCTAGTTGAGACTGTGTCAGATTTATGACCCACAAAACTGTAAGACTGAGCCAATACACTTGGGCTTTATGGTAGTAACAAGAAATAACAGCAGTGGAAAAACACCTTCGTAAAAGGTTCAATTACAGTACTCATCAGATAAGGGAATCTAAAGTCATGTAAAATTTATTGTTTTGTGGCACTGGGAACAAACCCTGGAGTGCTCTACCATTGAGCTACATCCCTGCCCCTATCTCCTTTGTTTTGAGGTAGGATCTCACTAAATTGTCCAGGTAGTCTTGAACTTCTGCTTCAGCCTCCCAAGCAGCTGGGATTACAGGTGTGGACCGCCACACCTGTTTTAAAAATTTAACTGTACTCATGAGGTTGAGGCAGAAGTATTATGAAGTCAAGGCCAGCCTGGACAACATGGCAAGTTCAAGGCCAGTGTGGACTACAGAGTGAGACCTTGTGTCAAAAAAAACCAAAAATTTAACTCATGTCATGTCCTGAATGATTCTAGTACATTAAGTTGTGCTATAACTGGAAATGTACATATGGCCAACAAAAAACAATGAAGCAACTGAAAGCTATACAGCCATTATTTTATATGAAAATGCCTTTTTACAAATTCATTACTAGTTATTATGAGGAACATTTCATCTAGGGGTGATTTTTAAGGCAGCAAATTGAGTTTCCATAAGAACAGAACCTTCCATCTCAGAAGAAGGGATGTCAACAGGAAGACCAGAATCCTCTGTTTCCAGGGGTTTCTCCTGTTCACAGCTGAGGTTTGAACCATCTTTCACTTTAGTCTCTTGCTCTTCCACCTTTAAACGTTTCTCTGAGGCTGGAGCTACAACTTCCTCTTCATTTTCATGTACAAAGCTACAAATCATGTTGGGTCTATAGGAAAAATCATTGTCCTTCATCTGCAGCCATTCTACCCCTCCTAACGTGGGCAGGACAGGAGACAAACCAAGACAGAAACATGAAAAAGAAACGTTAAGTGTACCTTAAGTTTTATCATCCTATGATATATAAAAGTAAAACTCCAATATAAACCAACTGTAACTACTGACAAAATAATCACATCATCTTCATCTTCTCAGAAAACTACAGGGGAAAAATCTTCACAATCACAAGTCATCACTTCAATCACTTGTGTCTACCCTTTTCCCAGAGTTAAATTCTCAACTCAGAATTTGAGCTCTCACTGCCAACTCATGCCTTAAAAGAAACTTTGTCACTTTCCTACAGTTTTACCTATTTGATTTTCCTAATACCGTGATGACACTACTCTGTTGCCTTCCAAATTAGGACTCAACATTATCTTTCTCATTTTGGGGAAGGAGAAGGGTTCTGGGGATTGAACCCAGGAGTTCATACCTTCTAAGCACATGCTCAACCACCAGCTACAACCCCACCCCTCTCAAATCATTTTCAGTTGGAACATACAGTTGTGAAGTAAAACAGCTGTCAGCTGGGCATGGTAATCCTAGCATTCAGGAGACTGAGGCAGGAGGACTGCCACGAGTTGGAGGCCAGCCTGGGCTACACAGTGAGCTCAACATCAGCCTGAACTACATAGCAAGACCTGTCTCAAAAAACAAAAGCAAAATTTATTTCTTGCTCCTTCCCGTACTCATAAGCAAATCCCTAGCCCATTACTACCCCATAATCAAGGATTTACCCAGAAATGCCATTTTTCCTCTTATCCTTATTACCTTTTAGCCAAATATTTTCAATGGATAAGAAGCTTAGTTTCACTATATAATATGAATTTGTTGAATTCCATTAGATATCTCTAAAATGCCTTGAACAGCCTTCCTACCTTGTCTACTCCTGTCTGCTCCCATTTCCTGCAATAACCTAACTCCTCTCCACAGTTGAAGCTTCCTTGCTGATCCTGTCTTTTCATGCATTATTCCTATAAAATCTCAAAAATTCATTAGTCCTTTGAAGAAAAAAAGTGAAAATAGAAGGAAAAAATGGAAACAAAACTTCTGTACATAGGGAGGGGAGGGGCCTCGCGGAAGGGAATGGGATAAAATAATTTTTTAAATTAAAAAAAAGTCGGGGGGCAAGGATTTAGCTCAGTGGTTCTGCTGCAAAGCGCAAGGTCTTGAGTTCAATCCCCAGTAACCCCCCCAAAAAAACCCCAAAATTTTTAAAAATGTTAGTCCTTTCCCTCCAATTTAGCTTTGCCTAGAGTCCCCTCCCTTTTTCTTTCTGCAGCAACATCATTCCCGTAGTCATCTAGGTTGAAGACCTGAGCGTGGTCCTTTATTCTGTTATTTAGCATAGTACCTGGATGGAACAGATTCTTACACAGACAAAATTGGGTGTTGAGTCACATTTGCGTGTGTCTGTTTCTTTCTTTTCTTTCTTTCTTTTTTATTTTTGGTGCTAGGACCAAACCCAGGACTCTGTGCATGATAAGCATGTGTTCAACTACTGAGTACCTCAGCAGCCCACATGTAATTTAAAGTACAAATTACACCTCCTGTCTTTTGTTCTGTCTCCAGCATACTTCCAAGGTGGGCAGCCAGCCTCCAAAAGTCCCCAGAGATTTTCACCATCCTCGATACCCCTGTGCAGCCTCCTCTGGCATGGAACAGGTTATTGCAGAAATGACAGATCATGAATTCTAAGTGTGGCTCATAATTGACATGAAGACTTCTGCCTTGTTCTCATAGGTTATTAGATCTGAGAAGTGAGCTGCAAAAACAGCAGGATCTTCATAGTCCTGTGGGAAGGTTCACTAGCAGGGACCCGAAGCCTCCTGCCAAAGCAGTAACAGCCTTACCAGCCATGTAAATGTGCCTCATAAAATCAGAGCTTGAGGCAGTAGGCAAGCCTTAAAATGACTGCACTTTAAACAACATACTGACTGTATGGTAGGTAGGGCCTCCTCCTGTTATTTTTACAGGATGCCTTTAAAAAAGGAATAGTTTTAGGCAGGCATAGTGGTGCACATAGTCATTCCAGCTACTCTGGAGGCTGAGGCAGGAGCATGACACGTTCAAAGACGTCCTGGGTAAATTAGTAAGACCCTGTCTCAAAATTCAAAAAGCAAAGGGCAAGGTTTGCAGCTCAGAAGTAAAGTGCCTGCCTAGCATAAAGAGATAATTTTGGGATATCCAAAGAACAAAAGTGTTTTGTGCATATTTGGTAGAATTGTTTCAAAAGATCAGTATGCCTAGGTGTGTTTATCCCGTGCCTAACATGTAGTAGGTCTATTAAACTATGAGCAGAGTCTTATTTACTAGAATTTCAAATATTATTTTTTCTTGTTGCTGTTTTGAGACAGGGTCTCACTATGCAATCCAGGCTGGCCTTTGAACTCACTGGGTAGTCCAGGCTGGCCTCAAACTTGCAGCATTCCTCCTGTCTCAGCCCCCCAAGTGATGGGATTACAGGCATGTGCCACCACACTCAGCATCAAGTATTTTTGTGAGCAATGAATGTTTAAATTATCACATGATTATCTGTTCAGCTCACAACCATGTGCCTGCCATGAGGCAAGATACACTGGTCTGAGTCTTTAGACTGCAATGGGAGCCCCTAAAGAAGACTAAATGGATGCTAAGGATTACACTCAGGACATACAAAATCCGCTTCTTCTAGCTGTAAATTTCTTGGGGAAGGCTACGACAGCCACCAAGTTCTGGGTGATTCTCTGGGGTTACACCTTGGGAATTCAGATATGCTAGCACCATCCACTCATTTCCAAATTAAAATTCTGATGAAGAAAGGGATAAGGAGAGAGACAGATGCTGCTGAATACCCTAGGCCTTGGAAATCTTGTCTCACTTCTTAGCAAACACTTCATGGTTATTTCCAGTGCAGAGCAGGTAGATGTTTATTATATGCCTCAGCCACATTAGAGTGAGCTGAATTTCTAATCTATGCTTGGTTCGTTTCATGTAGCATGCTCAATTTTTATTTCTTTAGTTTGTGATGCTGGGGATCAAACCCAGAGCCTCAGGGATACTGGGCAAGTGCTCTACCACTAGGATATACTCCCTACCCAAATGGATGTCTGGAACCTTTTAGATTGCATTGCCATTAGCTAAAAAAGAGGCTAATTACATTGCCAGAAAGTTTTATTTCTTTTGCAGAGTTAGGGATGAACCCAGGGCCTCATGCATGCTAGCAAGTGCTCAATTTTAAAATACTAAACACATTATACACATTACTACAAACCACAAGGAGTGCTTTGAGGCTATGTGTGTCACTGTCAAGACCACAACTACATCACCTGTGTTGAGAGTTAAGTGAACTAACCTATGCTTTCTTCTCCTTCTTTCTTTTCTGTCAGGAGAGTTCTGGTCATGCTGAGTTTCTTCATTGTGTGGCATTTATATTTCAGCACTGTTTTATTATTGCCTTCTGTATCTGTTGGACATAAAACAAACTCAATTATTATACTGCTTGATGCCATCAAATAAAATAAAGATTTGAACTTGAATAATTCCAGTTCAAGGAGTTAGGCTAAACTAGTAAGTTCAAAGTGTAAGTAAGTCATGCTTCCTGCTCCAATCACAGAGAAATGACAGAAAACATACACCACCGGAAGGCACAACTGGATGCAAAAACAACAAATGTAAAAGAAACAAAGCTATGAGTGAGAGTCAATGGATAGGCCCAACTGGCTCAAGCCTTAAAGTGTGAAAGTGGAGTCCGAAATGTGGCCTTCAGGGTATTGTGCATAATTCTACCACTTAGAACGAAAGACCAAGCCAGGCACAGTGCCACATGCCACAGGTTCATTCTCCAGTACTGAAACAAAAAAGGACCAAAGACTTTGAGCTCGAAGCCTGAGAGAGGCTAGAGTAGGAATATACCCAATCATAAAAGAAGGCTGGGAAAAACTCCAGGAACTGTAACATTAGGAAACAGCCTAGACAGGAGGGAGAATGAGGCCCTGAGCACTTCTGCCCGCTGCTCTGTGAGTGTAAACTGACAGCAACATGCCGTGTACTCAATTGATACTCAGCCAAATTGGTAATTTCACAAAGTTTAACCTAAAAATAAAGGCAACAAACTTCAATCTATTGCTTCTGGGGCTGGGGATTGAACTCAGGGCCTCACACATGCTAAGCATGATCTTTACCACTGAACTACATACACCCCAAACCCTTCATCAATGTATTTCTAAATGTAAACATTAGTCATTTTACACACACACACACACACACACATATACAAGAAGACATAAAAGAATATGTATACAGCATCTTTTTTTTTTTTTTTTTGAGACAGGGTCTCACTATTCTCACTATGTATTTGAGACTGACCTGGAACTCATTATGTACCAGGCTGGTTACCCCAAACCCTTCATCAATGTATTTCTAAATGTAAACATTAGTCATTTTACACACACACACACACACACACATATACAAGAAGACATAAAAGAATATGTATACAGCATCTTTTTTTTTTTTTTTTTGAGACAGGGTCTCACTATTCTCACTATGTATTTGAGACTGACCTGGAACTCATTATGTAGCCCAGGCTGGTCTCGAACTCACAGCCTCCCAAGTGCTGGGATTATAAGCATGAGCCACCGCACCCGGCTCCTACAGCATCTTTTTAAAAACCTTTCATCAGTACCTGTTTGTAGTACATAATGCTTACTTTTTCTTTCTTGTCTTACATGATAGGTACATTGAGCATTATCTCTAGTTCTTTTCACTTCCACTTCTCCGCCCCTCCCTTGCCCCTGTCCCTCTCTTCTCATTTGCAAAAGATCCATCTCCCTACACAGCATCTTTCAGTGATGTAATAAGCATAGCCAAAGATGTGGGCTGTAAGAGAGCGTGCTTAGCAGGTGTAAGCCCTTGGTTCAACCCCCAGCACACACACAAGGCCAGGCAGCCTGAGCATAAAACCTGGCTCTGCCACTTACTTCCTGCACGAGCTTGGCCGTGTTACATACCCATCTGAGTTTCAGTTTCCTCAACTATAAAATGAAAATCATACCAGTGTCTAGCTTATCAGGTAAGGACTCGAGGTTAACTCATATAGCACTTAGAACAATATAGAAGATAACACATCAATAGTAGCTATTAATAATTGCTAGTGAATTTCACATGCATCTCTCAAAAGTTATCAGTTTACATTCACAGTAGCAGGATCTGGAGAACAAATTGCACCATAGTCACAAGGAACAGGAAGCAACAGGAAGCAATTTATAAATATAAATTTATATTTATATATATATATATATCAACATGTATAAATTGAAAATGTATCATCTGAGTGAAAAAAGATACAGAATGATTTGCATAGCATGTTATTATTGGTATCAAGTTTTATTGTTTGTTGTTTTGCTGCACTGAGGTTGATCTCAGGGCCTTGTTCATGTTGGACAAGATGCTCTTAACTGACTTATCCCATAGCCTCAAGTTTAAAATATACATAACAGCACTAGTTATTGTTTCTAGATACATATGTATAAAATATAAAACTAGGTATAGGATCTAGGTGGTGCATGCCTACAATCCCAGCACTCAGGAAGCTGAGGCAGGAAGACTGTCATGAGTTTGAGGCCAGCTACATAAAGAGTTCCAGGCCAGCCTAAACCACATAACAAGACCCTGTCTCAAAATGAATAAAATTAGATATAGTAAAAATAAACATCAAATTCAAAAGAGTAATCACCTCTGAAGATAGAGGCAAGCATAAGTTTTTGGTGCTTTTTGTTTATTTTTAAAATTTTTCTTAGTATATGTTTATGGCACACAATGATTATATTCATGGTGGGGAGTTGGTACATTCATATAACACATCTTCTTTTTATATAGGGAGGCTGAGGCAGAAGGATTGCCACAAGTTCAAGGCCAGCCTGAATTATATACTGATACCCTGCCTCAAAAACAAAAGGTGGGCTAGCGTAACAGTTACTTACCATGTTCAACATTTTCTTCAAATATAACACAGGTTCCAAGAGTATCTGCAGAAAAATTTGAGGCAAATTGTTGAGAAATAGTAGAGCTACCTTCTCTGAAAGGCATATCAAAGGCAACATCTAACTGACATCCTCCTACCTTCATACTCCCCGGCAAAGACATAGCTGTCCAACTGAAGAATGGGCCTCTCAGTGTCAACTCCCTACAAGAGAATAAAGAAGCATAAAGCCATGAGAAAAAGCCCCCAGCGTGTCATCTGGCTACCATCTCCAACACTGGGGAACCTAGTCTACAGCATCTGTTTTGGGGAAGAGATGGGGTTTGAGACAAGTGTTTCACTATGTAGGCCAAAAATGACCTCCAACTCACCATCCTCCAGCCTCAGACTCACAAGTGCTGGGATTACCGGCATGTGCCACCACGCACAGTTAGTTTAAAGGATCTTGCTCTAGCAAGTACAAAATAAACCATTGCTCTGTCCCAGCAGCTACAACCCAAAGACTGTTTACTTGATGCACATGGAACAAGGCCAGTTTCTTTTTCTTTTTTTTTCTTTTTCAAGACAGGGTCTCACTTTGTAATGCAGGCTGGCCTTGAATCCAGACTGGTCTCCATAGTGACCCTTCTTTGCCTCAGCCCCCAGAGTGCTTGGATTATAGGTATGAGCCACCACACCTGGCTCAACAAGATCAGTTTCAATCAACATTCTCTTCAAGTTTAAAATAAAAGAGGAAGTTTTCTTGTAAGCAGAGCTCAAGGGCTTTAAAATAAAATGATAAAGGTTCTAGGTGTCCCTCCGTGTTAGAGCTGTGCTGAGGATGTAAACAGGCCCTGAGTCCATCATTCTTCATTATCATCCAAAAAAGAGGTAATGTACAAGGCTGGCATGGTGGGGCATGCCTGTAATGACTGTGATTCTGGCACATCGGAGGAAGGAGGAGGTTTGCACATTTGAGGCCAGCCTGGGATATACAGAAGGACTTTGTTTAAAAAAAAAATTGCTGGACAAGATGGTACACACATAATCCTAGCACTATGGAAGGCTGAGACAGGACAACTGCAAATTTACTCAGCCAGAACCTAGATAATAAAAAATAAGATCGGCTGAGGATGTAGCCAAGTGGTAGAGTGCCAGCATCACAAGGAAAAAAATGTCTTTTAAGTCTCTTCTTAGTAGGTGATTTCCCTAGCTTCTCCTTCATAGTTTAACCTCTATGTGAAAGTCTATCCTCCCTTCCTTTTTTTTTCCCATCTTACTTTCTAAAACAAAGTATTTTCTCAATAATCTCATTATTCCATGACAAAATATTGCCCCCTGAATCAAAACCTGGATCAGAGTGACACACCTCTCTCTATTTTTGTAGTACCCCTGCACCTCAGTCGATGCTCAGCGCTTTGAAGGTGGGCTAAATGGATCGATCTGCGAACTGATATTCCACCATTCCTTCTTAACTGTCAAGCAAATCTACAGGGCCAGGGATTTAGCTCAGTGGTGCCGCTGCCTGCCTCGCAAGCGCAAGGTCCCGAGTTCGATTCCCGGTACCAAAAAGAAAAGAAAGAAAGAAGAAAAGAAAATCTACTATTCTACAAGACTCACCAAAATCTTGCATTTATTTTCACATTTTGCGAGAAAGTCTGAATCAATAATTCCTGACAATTCCACCAGAACAAACTGCTCCTGGTGGAAGAAAAAGGTTAACATGTCAGCATGCAAGTGAGCAGGAAGATGCGATAAAAAGAAAATACCCAAATCCCATCGCAGCTACCCCACCTTTGTAAAAACTGGGTCCTGTGTTTTCAACAAGAAGAAAGCGATCTTACTAAAAGTGCTTCCAGACCTTCTCCATTGTTACAACCGCGGAGCCATTATGACTGAGACCAGAGGCTCTCAGCTCCGCGCGCCCCGGGCCTCCCTCAAGCGGGCGGCTGCCCAGACGGGCCCCTAGCTGGCAAAACCATCTCCGTCACCGCCTTGCGCGCTTCTTCCTTAATGCTTACTACCTCCTCTTCGTCCACCTCTTCCTCCTCCTCTGCTGGGTCCTCCTGCCTGGGTTCTTTGGTCGCCGACATGGGCCCGCAAGCTCCCGGAGGTCCGTCACTAGTCACGCCCACCCAGGATCGCCATCTTCAGTACGGGCGGCAGCTCCTTGGGCTCCAGCCGCCCGCCCCTGCCAGGACACAAGATGGCGACCGCAGGCCGGAAACTGGGAGCTAGCGCGGGGTGTGCCGGGAACCAGGTGGAGACTCTTGCCTCCGGAGCGCCTGATAAGCGGAACCGGCTTCAGCTTCATCTGGGCCTGCTGGCTCACTAGGAGCAGAGGACTTGCGAGCAGGCGAGGCCGAGGTGAGAAAGAAGGCGCAAGCAAAGACGGAGTGAAGGAAATAGAGTCCTTGGTTCACTTCCGTGTTTTTTGCGTTGTGGAAATCAAACTCGGGGCCTCGCTTGTGCTGGGCAAAAGCTTTACCACTGAGTCACATCCAAGGTATTTTTATTTTGAGACCGTCTCCCAAAATTGCCCAAACTGGGATAAACTCGAGATCCTCTTGCCTCACTTCCCGGCCTCATAAACTGGGATAAACAAGCCTGAGCCATGCCCAGCCACACCTATAGATTTCTTGAAGAGAATTTTTTTTTTTTTTTTTT